TAAACCGAAACGGCTCATCGAGATCTAGGTGAGCTCGCATTGTGTTAGCGTTGAAAAACCAAACAATAAAAACAATTCTAGAATTATTTTGTTGAACAGCGCGGTAGACTCGCGAGAGGAGATAGTGCGTACACGTAATGGGGACATGAGCACAGCGGCAGAGGGAATAACGACCGTTTGGCTGCTCTGGTAGGGCTTTGACCAGTTCCAGCCAATGGTTGCTGCACTATGAAAAAGCAAGACCGACCGGTAACAAATTGACAACAACTATACACTAGATCTGCTGTGTTGTTCAAGCGGCGACAATCCAGGAACTCTCGCTGTCGGTCACGTTTACAGTGTTAAATTGCTTCTTACTCACGTCCTGGGTCTTCATGAATGAACGAGGGGGGGGGGGGGGGGATTCTTGGGTGAAATCGATCGATCAGATTCGGAGAAACAGGCCCAAAGCGTATCTGTTACACTATAACGTCGTAGCGATTTATAATCTGTGACCAAGTAATTTAGGCGGCTTGGAAGTGGCGGCTTGTAGGCGATTGTGGTTAATTTCAAGTAAAGCACAATGACTTCCAAGCAAACAAGTTTTGACTGAGACTTCAGACTAAAGTGGCTGGATTTGAGTCCGTGTCGTATACACAGATTCAGAATAACTTCTACCTTCTACAGCCCTTTATAAAAGCGATCGTCAACAGTATTCTATGCGAGTTGACCGTCTAATAGGCAGTCTATAGTATTGTTTGCGAGCTCTTGATATTTTGATCATATAGCTCTACTCAGTTACGGGCTCACCACGGATAACCGTAAGATTAAAGCCACGCTTCTTTCAGCACAGTGAACGCATCCACAGGTGTGTTCTTGATAATCCCATTATTTCATTATACCGCTGTATTAGGCGGGCACAAGCTGGATCTGTGTGTGTCCGACGGTAGGAGCATGCTTTCACATCGCGGTTACAAACATGCAGATTTTTCTGTTGAGATTACGTGTTTGATTGTACTCAGCTAAAACGTGTACACTCTCTACAGTTGACTGTAAAGGCTAGGGGTCGATGCTGGATAAGCGATGTTGGATTTCAGCGTGCACAAGCCGAACAAGCATCTCAAGATGGTGACTGTAGTGTCGTAGTTCAGGAGGCTGTTAGTCCAGACAAACCAACGCCTTGGTTGGTCACGGTTTTCCCTCATCGCAGAGTGCTTTCTAACCAACACAATTCAATCTACCTTGAAAGCAACAATAGGTTATATGCCCAAGCTTTCTCTGTGCTCAAAGTGCTACCCTTGAGGTGGCGCGGTCATGATGAAATGGAACTCCGAGAAAGACTTCGACGGGACCAACTACACGGCATGGAAGACGCGCGTGCGAGCCGTAATGGAGGCGAACGATCTCTGGGACATCGCAACGCTACGTGAACGTCCGCCACGCAGTGGCTCAAGGCATGACGAAGACAAGTTTTGGCACCGAGAACGTAAAGCCAAAGCTTTCTTGCTGGAAACGCTGACCGACGATCTTGTAGTCAGTGTTGGTGCTAAGCGGTACGCCTACCAAGTGCTAGAGTACTTAGAGCAAACGTATGAGGCCAAAACCTGGGGGAAATCTAGTGGCAATGCGTGAGAAATTCATTTCGCTGAAGTACGAAGACGGACAAGAAATGACGACGCACCTCAACAACCTAAAGACTCTAGCCGAAAAACTCGCCCGCCAAGGAAAACCCGTGGATGACCAAGAGCGAGTGTGCCAACTCTTGACAAGTCTACCCGAGTCATGGTCCCACTTCAAAAGTGTATACTTTACACAGGACCGCCCACTGCCACAAGGAACAATGGAAGGCAACGTCATGGCCGAATTCTCGAGACGCCAAGCCCAAACGGCTCCAGTAGCTGTTCAAGAAACGGCCGTCCCCGCTGTTTTGAAAATGAGGACTACATGATGGCAGAGGCCTTACTTGCCAGAGCAACCTCAATTCGAGACGCACGCAGTCCCATCGATCGACGCCATACCCACCGCGGTCGAGTAATGGGCAAGCATGCTTCTATTGTGGCAAAGGGGGGCACCAGAAACAAGTCTGTCGGCTCCGCCTTCGCCACCTCCAAGAACGTGGTGTTCCCGATGAACAGCAAGCTTCCACCGGGCAAGTAGCCGTAGCTGTAGCGCCTGTAAGCCCCGCCGACAATGCTGCCGAGCTGACAGAGCAACTCTCTCCGGCACTCGAAGGAGAAGTATGGGGTCTTGCGGCAGTCGCAGGGTATGCAGCGAAAGCATGCGCTGACAGTGATTTTGTTCCTTGGGTGATCGACTCGGGGTGTACCCAACACATGACATCCGACAAGTCACTCTTTGAGAAGTTTGAAGCGGCCTCTGGACGAAAGGTTCGCGTGGCAACGGCCACAATGACTCCTGTCGAAGGAGTTGGTACGATACTGCTCACGGTGCAAATGAACGACGGCCATAACGAACGGGTCAGACTTCACAAAGTCCTCTACGTGCCAGCGCTTGAAATGAACTTACTCTCTGTGTACCAAGCGGCTCAAGGAGGGGCAAAATTTGACTTTCATACGCAACCTGGCTCCGTGACAATGTCACTTGACCATCGCCATGTTACATGTCGCGCTACTAATAAGCTGTACGTCCTGCATTCGGCTCGACCACCAGCAGCAGCTCTCGCCGTAAGACCGGAGCTGACGCTTGACATCCTACATCAACGGTTCGGGCATACTAGCAAGCAGATTCTCCGCAAGATGGCGTCATCTAAAATGGCCAGTGGCATGGAGTTCAAACCGGAGCCGGAGAATTCCCCGTGTGACGCCTGCGAGTTGGGTACGAAGCGCCGTGCGACGTTCAAATTGAAGCCCCGAGCTGACCTGGATGGCTGCAATAACGTTGTTCACAGCGACATCGCTGGACCTGTCGAAGTGCCATCAATCAAGCTCGAGCGATATGTGTTACTTTTTGTCGACGGATATTCGCGATACTGCACTGTGGGGCTGCTGGGCAAGCGGTCGGAGATGTTCCAGTGCTTCCTGGAATACAAGGCGTCAGTAGAGACGAAGCACAATCGATCGCTTCGACGCTTTGTCAGCGACAACGGTGGTGAGTATCTAGATGGTGCATTCGTCAAGTGCTGTCGTGACCATGGGATTCAACGCGATACAACAATCGCGTACACACCGGAGCAAAACGGGATGGCTTAAGTTCGCTTTCGCATTCTCTTCAACAAAGTCCGGACGATTTTGATCTCCAGTGGATCACCAAAGCAGCTGTGGGGAGAAGCAGTTCTGGCAATGGTCTACACATACAATCGGACTCTCGCCTCCGGCATTGACATGACTCCATACGAGCGATGGCACGGTCATCCTCCCGATGTCAGCAACCTTCGGACTTTTGGCTCTCTCGCATACGTCTACGTGGCATCCAAGACAAACGCACAGGGGCGAGCCGGTGCCAAGAGGCAAAAGCTTGATGCCAAAGCTGTTCGAGGCGTGTTTGTAGGCTACGCCGCCAACCAAAAGGGTTGGAAGATTCTCGATTGCAACCAAGGTGCCATTATATCGTCCATTCATGTAACCTTTGACGAAAGCTGTTCTGCTGCAGCTCGCGATCTCAAGCACCAGGAGTTCCGCAAGTTGGCTTCGCGGCACTCCATGGATTTTGAGTATTACTCTCGGACCGCGACATCTGAAGTTGATCTGCTTTTCTACAGCCAACGCCCCACCGAAGAGAAGCCTTCCGCCAATGACGTAGTGCTACTCGAAGATTTCGTTGCTGGCTTTGACATGGCCTCGGTCAATATTTCGACGACATGGTCGCAACTCTGTGCGTATGCATCGTCATCAGCTCCATGGCTTCGAACGTTGGTCGGACCACAAGCGCTTACCAGTGAATCGGTTCATCCAATCATCCGAGCCGTTCGCAAGCAAAAACAAGCTGAGCTCCTCGTGGCGCTCGAAAATCTGAAGTGCAAGGAGTCGCTTTGTACTGTTGTTACTCAAGGTATGGGTCTAGACCCTGCAACCTACCGTGAAGCAATGGCACGACCTGATGCGGCAAGATGGAGAGAAGCCACTGATGCAGAAATAGCGTCGCTCCTAAAGAACAAGACGTGGACACTAGTGAAACTTCCAACAGGCAAGCGAGCTCTAGCTTGCAAGTGGGTGTTCAAACGAAAGTTCAACAGTGACGGGACTCTCGAGCGAAATAAAGCTCGCTTAGTTGTCATCGGGTGCCAGCAAATTAAGTTCATCGACTTCGACGACGTCTTCGCGCCTGTGGTGCGCTTGGAATCATTCAGAGTGCTGCTTGCAATTGTGTGCATTGAAGACTTGGAGTGTGAGCAAATGGACATTGAGACCGCTTTCCTGAACGGTGTGCTTGAAGAAGAAGTGTACATGCAACTCCCACAAGGGCTAAAGGTCCCCGGTCAAGAAGGTCTGGTGTGCCGCCTGCTAAAAAGCCTATATGGCCTCAAGCAGGCACCACGCGCATGGCACAAGGCGTTAGTTCAGTATCTCACCACTGCTGGATTTGAAGCTCTGCAGTGTGAAGCCTGCATTTTTGTTCGGAGCACAGGCAGCAAGACGCAGATCGTAGCCATCTATGTGGACAACTTGATGCTGATCGCTAAGACTCGGGGTAAAGTTGCTGAAATGAAGGCCGGCATCCAAAAAACATTTCGTGCGAAGGACATGGGCCCCGTCAGCTACATTGTGGGGATCAAAGTAGTCCGTGACAGGGGTACAACGAAAGCTGTGGATCAATCAGCAGCTAAGCGCAGACAACATCGTGAACCGGTTCAACATGCAACACGCGTTTGCTACTAAAGTACCATCGATTCCAGGGAAGAAGCTGCGGAAAGTTAACGGCGCTGATGCAACCGGTGATGTCATGAGTGACATGGCAACGAAACCCTTTCGACAAGCTGTTGGAAGTCTAATGTATCTGATGATCGGGTCGAGGCCTGAGCTTGCCTTCTCCATTCAGGATGTGGGCCGATTTCTCAATGCTTACGCTAAACCACACTGGGAAGCTGTCAAACAGATCATCAAGTATGTCAAAGGAACTACAGCTCACGGTTTGGAGTTCAGTGGGTCCGACATCAGCTTATTCCGATTCTGACTACGCTGCTGACGAAGATGAGCGAAAGTCTGTATCGGGATATGTTACCTTCATTGGTAATTGTGCAGTTACTTGGAGCAGCAGAAAGCAACGCATTGTCGCCCAGTCAACAGCGGAGGCTGAATACATCGCGCTCGCCCACTGTACACGCGAAGTTCTCTTCATTCGGCAATTGCTGTCTGAACTTGGATATGAGCATGTGGTGAAGCGCCAGTTGGCTTTCACGAATAAGAAAACTGATTGATGGGAAATGACCCGATCCAGCCCTGAGACTCATGGTCGACGACGGTGCGTCAGTGATTACGTCATCATCGGTGAGGATTACGCAATCATCGGAGTGGATCGACATGGTGCAATCAATTGGGTACACGATCGACCGACAAGGACACGATCCACTGATGACACATCATCTGATTTGTACCCACGGCTAGTACCACGCGACCAGGCTACAGAGGGGATAGAAAGGACGTCATAGGATGGGCAGAAGGTATTGGACCGATAGGACTTAAAGGAATAACAGAGTGGAATTTGCCTTATCAACAACAAGTGCCTTCGGTTCAAGAACAAGAACTGTAGCGGGAAGTACATTGGCCCATACAGTTACCAAGTCATTCTACCAAGGACACGCGTCAGTCGCCAAAGTTTGCAGCTTGGCCGGTCGATCGTCTCCACTCTCGCCCCCAACTCCCCCGCTATAGGAAGCGGTCAAGCCTCGCAAGTAAAGGAACAAGGAACCCCCCCGTAAAGGAACAAGCACACCCCAAGTCGATCAAGATCGACAACCTACCTGGCGCGTAGCCTGAAGTATATCCACGCTACGCCAAAACCCCAAACCATCCCGCGTCCCGCCAAGACGAGACCAACCTACGGCCAAGCCTCTCATCGAGTCCACCAGAGGAGTGTAGCCAGCCCGCCGACGGGTACACAAGGTGAGCCCTCAGCAACCCCACGGTTATCGGAGTACCCCCTCCGTCAGTCGGCAGTCCAGGGCACTGTGTGTCTGAGTGGATCGCAACGCGATTTTGCGAATCCCACTCCACCACAAGCAGGAGGAGACACCGATATTTGAAGACAACCAGGCATGCATCGCTATAGCAAAAAATCCTACCCAGCACTCGCGAACCAAACATATCGACGTGCGGTATCATTTTATTCGAGAGCATGTCCGAGCAAAGCATATTGCTCTCAAGTACGTGATGTCAAAGAAAAACGTTGCTGATACCTTCACGAAGGGACTGGCCAAGGACCAGTTCGAGCTGCTGCGTGGTAAGCTTGGAGTGATCGAGGTTAATGCGGTTGCGGGGGAGCAAGCTGTCGATGGAGATCGAGAAGGTCAAGCAGCATCACTCGGTAAGAACGCCAAGTAGAGCTTGGAAGTGCTGCGAACAATCTTCTCGCAGGAGTGCTGATGGTTAGCTTGCTGGACAGCGAACGGGATCCCGCTTGTTTGCGAATGGCAAACTCGCTGGAATGCGAATGGAATCCCGCTGGAGAGCGAATGGTAATCTTGCAGGAGTGCTTATGGAGTCGATAAAGCCTAACGATGTTTGTTCTACTAGCAGCGAAACTGACGAAGACGTGAGTGCTCGCTGCGGGGGAGTGTTGGATTTCAGCGTGCACAAGCCGAACAAGCATCTCAAGATGGTGACTGTAGTGTCGTAGTTCAGGAGGCTGTTAGTCCAGACCAACCAACGCCTTGGTTGGTCACGGTTTTCCCTCACCGCAGAATGCTTTCTAACCAACACAATTCAATCTACCTTGAAAGCAACAATAAGCCAGACAGGGCAACAACATCGCCAATGACCTGATGCTGCATCGGGTTGTTCTGTACTAGATTCGGAGCTGAAGTAGGCGCCAAGCCTCAAATTACTACTACTACTAGTAATTTACATAGGTTTGGACTATCCAATCCGTGACTAATCCGTTCAACCTAGTCGTTATGTAAACTGCTGGGACCGCTTGATCCAGTGTTTCTTAGCCTATCTTCTTTAATAAAACCTTTTACATTCATCCGATAAGATTTGATGCTACTTCCTTCAGACGCGATCACACCGGATGTCGAAGGTAGTATTCCTCAAAGAAATATGCACTTCAAACAGTTAATACTGGTAAAAAGCGAATACCAGGCTGGTCTGATTTTAGGTCTAAATAAACTATCCGGACTATAATTATGTCATATCTGAATGCGACCAAGAAAAAAATCTTCCCAAAGCAAGCCAACAATGCTTGTGATCCCGTAATCGCACAAGATAAGCGGAAACATATCGACGTTATGCATGAAAGAGAGACTGCGCGACGCGAAGAAAACAGTAAAACTCTCTTATCAACCAAATAATTTTCTTTTTAGCTTTTTGTCTTGCGAAAATCTCTGTACGACCAGTATGGGGGTGGTGATTGCGACTCTGTTGATCCGCAATTTCAAAGCGTAAACGCGTGGCAAGGCACATCATTGTTCCCTTTCACAGGGATTGCAAAAACAGTCAGAATGATCACCATGCTAATCTCTCTACAGACGATAGGTTCAGTCTTAAATCGATAAAACACCCGAGACAGTCGACAACCCGACAAATACGCGCGATGCGGGCTTCCACGCCGTTAGTCGTTATGACTGCTTTCGCGATTTCAACCCTTGCGGTAGCCGCCACACCTCTCGGTGCCTCGGCAAAACTAGGCGAGCAAGATTGGACGAAGACCGCGTTATCAACAGTACCGTCGCTACGGCTGCATGTTACACTCGATGACGAAAACGTGAAGATACATGGGCATTCCGTCATTGACGTATTCGCGAACCCAATCGTCTCCAGCGACAACACCAGCATCCACTACGACGGCTTTAGCACCTTTAGCCAAGACGATACCGAATATACTTACGTGTTCGAGAACGGCACATCCTACATGTTAGAGAGCCCCGTTAATGGCAACGCTTCCTCAACGTTGCACTGTCTACCATCGATCATTCCATTCGAGCATATACTTCCAGCACTCAACAACGCCACATCGATTCCAAGCGCATCTGTCGGAGGGGAGACCATCGAGTGCCCAGACGGATCATTGTTCCGGACGACATTTAGCGGAGTGGATTTCGTGTTATGCGCATCAAGTACATCCGGATTCATGGCGTTTGGGCTCGATATGACGATGGCAGTGGAATACTTGTCGACTCCAATTCGTCATACTCTGCCAGCATTGAGTAATGACATTTCGACGTGCCCAGTAGTGGCATTCCCTACGCCGGTGACACCAACTGCCATCGCGCTACTTACAGGTACATCTCTTCCGACTTCTCCATCCAGAAACCTGAAGGCAGCAGCACCCGCAGTGATTGAGGCGGAGTCTTGCGAGTGCAAGTCTACTCCTCGGCCGTGTATTTTCTTGCACGGTCTGGGAAATCCGAATGAAAAAGCAGAATTACAAGATACACCCAAGTTGACGAAGGAGAAGTTCGGAGATATTGGTGATCATGCCCCATGCTGTACGACGGTCAAGTACGCGGTCATCAACACTGTTGATGTCGGGTGGAGGAATGACACGCTGCAGCAAAAGTTCTGCGATTTCTCACTTTCCATGAGCGAAACGAGTGACTTGGCAACACGTACAATATCCGACACTATCGTTGTGACGCACTCGATGGGTGGCCTAGTACTGGCGAGCGCACTCGCCAATGGGAAGTGTAAACTTGCAGATAGCACGTCGTGGGTGAGCATGAGTGCTCCGATGAAGGGGAGTATGGCTGGAGACTTTCTTCAAGATATTTGTGACGGAAAGTTCACGAAAACTGTGACTGGGTTGATGGATTTACTTGGCCAGTGCCCTATCACCATTGCTAAACAGTCGATTTATTACCAGAACGGCAAGTACAGCACCCCAGAACTCAACGCGGCATACACCGCAGCACAAGAAGCCTACCGCAGCAACGTCGATGCAGCACTGTGTAGCAAAAGCTACCTCGGTGTCTTGTCAAAGTTCTCTCCTTCATGTTTGGTAGGAGGAACCGTGATCCCACACAAGTCAGATGAGAACGATGCCCTCGTGGAGTTTCAGAGCTGCTTGGGTGGCCTCGACCCTGACTTGTTCGGTGGCAGCTATCGTGATCGATTTTACGCGGCCAAATTGGATCATGCTGACACGGCGTTTCTGACCCACGATAGTTTTTTCAGAGACTCTCAGAAACCATTCAAATGGTTTGAGTGTTTACTGTAAGCAGATACTAATCAAAACTCACGGCCTCGCGCCGTACTGCTCAATGATAAGCATTTCCTTGTGACATGTGCTAGTTTTTAGGACTGTTATGAACGGTAAATTTGCCGAAGTTTGTTGCAGCACCGCAGCGATATCAGCGACGGCGGCATGCGTGAGTATTGGTGCTCCGAGTTACTTGTTTTCATCTAAGTTCTACTAACACAATAATCTTAAACGGTTCTTACCCGTCAATCCTTCTATTAATAGTGGTGAAAATACTTGAAAATCACCATCTCAAAATAATTTGTTTTAAACGAAACTAAATATTATTTTAAAAACAAATCCTGAAGATGTATTGATATAGGTTAGCAAAAACATTGATTTAGAAACGGTTGTTAGAAACAGTTAAATCGACATTTGCTGCACACCTTGCCGATGCTGCTCCAGCTCGCCATCCTCGCCTTCCTGGCGTCTCCCTCAGCCGCGACGACACCTAGCGATGTTGTCCACGTGATCAACCTACATCCAGAGTCCCCACTCTCGTCACAGAGCGTTCAGTACGGCGTCCCCCAGCTCTTCCGTGTCACGGAGCTACAACCCGCCACAGTCTACGACATCAAAGTGTCGTATCCAGCCACGCAGCCATCAATCTTCGCGCTGCAGATAGAGCGGGTACTGCTGCCGTTGCCTGTAGCTGGCACCGACAACTTCGACGCTAACAACGCAAATATTGCATCAAATATCAAGAAAAATACGCCGATGCCCCCTCGTCGAAGAATTTTAAATACAGCCAAGCTTCGCCTGCATCCGGCGGAAATGGAGACGCACGAGTCGGTGCGGTATCGTCTGGAGCCATCCGGGACAGCAACTGAAGTGGAATTTTCACTTCTGGCCGAAGTTGAAGGCGTGCAACGTCCAGATTCCACGTTAGAAATGAAGGTATGTGTGTTCGATATTGTGGTGGAAGAGATGCTGTTCGAAGCTTTCCCGAAAGATACGTTGGTGCTGATCGGATGGCTGCTGATGCTACTATTTGCAAGCTGGAAATGGGCACTGCCATATTTGGAGAAGAAGATCGCTCTTGGGTTTGAAGAGGATAGAGTCGGATTAGAGGATTCAAAGGAGTCGTAGTTGAATCCCGTAAGGTACTACGTACATGTAGTGCAGACTGTAATCAACAAGGAACGGAAAATCGAAGAGTTTCTTATTTCCTAAACAAGCGTATTAAAGTCCCTTGTATTTCTTTTTTTTTAAAAGAAATTAATATCAGCGAAAGAAGACATCATTGTACTGCAGTAGTAAAATAATTTCAAACGATTTTTTTTATTATGGAAACCATGCACGTTCTACTAAACCTTCTATAGCGCTAGACATTCAAACCACTTGTGTGGCTTCTGTGAGTCTTTAAGGATACCCTCGCCCGTCAGAAATGCCGTATCTGCATGGTTCAGCTGTGGTCTGTAGAACCGATCCAAGTAGTGATTGCCAAAGAGGTTCTCGTCGAGGCCGCCCAAGCAGCTCTGAAACTCTACAAGGCCATCATTCTTCTTGGACTTGTGCGGGACTGCAGTGCCAGCGAGAATGCACGGAGCTTGGTAGGTTGACAGAAGTCCAAGGAAGCTATCGCTGCACATTGCTGCTGCAACGTTTTTACGATAGGCTTCCTGAGCGGCCACGTACGCAGCATCAATGGACGGAGAAGTGTGCTTTCCGCCCTGGTAGGTAGTAGACTTGCGGGACTTTGGCATGGGACACTGTCCCACTATCTCGAATAATCCCGCAGCAATGTTGTTGTTCTCGTCGTCACAGATGTCCATGAGATAATCCGAAGCCATACTGCCCGTCATCGGGGGACTCAGCGCCACCCACGACGTTGTTTTACTGAAGCTGCACTTGCCCTTAGCGAGAGCGTGAGCCATCACGAGTCCACCCATCGAGTGTGTCACGATAATTGTATTGTCGATAACCCCAGCAGCGACGTCACTGGTACTACTCATCGAGAGGGAATGATCACAGAACGTTTGCTGAAGAGTGTCGTTTCTCCAACCAGCGTCGTTGGTATTCATCACGGCATACTTAATCTCGGAACAGCAAGGAGCGTGGCCGTGTATGTCTCCGAATTTCTTCTTAGTAAGTTTCGGAGTGTCTTGCAACTCCGCCACGTCGTTGGGGTTACCCAAACCATGTAGGAAGATGCATGGACGAGGCGTGGTCAGACACGTATCACACTCCGTCGCTGCCATTGCCATGTGAGACTCTTCCCTTAGCTTTCTGGAAGTACTGGACGGGATCTTGCTGCCAGTAGCCAAAGCGAGAGCTGTAGGCGTCAGTGACGTGGCCTCTTGAACAACTTCACACGACGTAGATTCATCCGTCAACTCTGGCTTCGAGACGCTAACGGGGCCGTCGAGATACTCGACAGTAATGTCCAAATCGCTACTGTACGCCGTGAAACCAGCCTCACCCGACGCACAAATAGCGTAGTGGGATCCCGCAAATGTCGTTTTGAATAGCTTCCCACTCTCACAGTCAACAGATTTGCCACCGATGGAGGCACTGGGAATGGATGTGGCCATGTTGAGAGCAGGTAGAATCTCGTCGAACGGCAGCGTGTTGGACGGGAGACATTGAACTGTTTCAACGTCCGAGGCGTCCGTCGTAGTCAGATAGGCAGATCCGTCTACGAGAGTGTACGTGAACTCGGAGTCGTCGTCATTGAACGTCGCGTAGCTGTTGTAGAGCACACTGGCGCCGTTGTCCGCCACAACGGGCGTGGCGTAAATATCGAACTCGGAGTGTCCGTGGAGATTCATGCTCTTGCGCTTGAAGATGACATGGAGTTTTACGGATGGAACATCGTTCAGCGATGCCGCGTGCGCGAGACTTAACAGAGCAATGGAGGAGGCGACTATGACTCTCATTGTCACTCAGAAGGAGTTGATGCCCGACCAGGGAAAACGCTACAATGAACGTTATCGAATTGGGACGCAAAATCGATGGCAACGATGTATACGGTCGCGAAACCAGTTTTACATGTACAGAGCGCACATCACTGGCCGCTGTTGTTGGATCAGCAAAAGCTTTGAATGGGTGAAAGACTTTTCTGGAACTTGATCCATCTGGGTGGAGTGAGCACCGACGCTCGGATGTGTTGGACTGAACGTTGTTTTGACTTACAGTTTTAGATTGCCTTTTTTTCAGATCAGTTCTCACAGGTTCTGAAATCAGCAAATCAATCGATCGAATTGGAAGTCCAACATTGGTCTGACATCCATTCTGAAAACGGACAACCTCTTTGTTTCTCTTCTGTTATCGAAAGTTTTTGTTGATGTGCGACGGCAGAAGCGGTGCATATCGATTTTGTGTAGTGTGGCAGTTCTATAATTGCGAGTTTAAGCTCATTATTTATTGTTGCAGCTGGAGTTCTGCGGAAAACTCAATATTTATTTGTTATACGTTTACTTTGGATAAATTGTATTTGTTAACATACAAATTTTGCTTGAAAATATTTTTAATCTCAAGAGCAAACTTTCTTTTACATTTACCACAATGTACCTATTGAATCACTAACCAAAGAGAATCAAGACAACAGTCATTACGTGCGTTTTACAATTGTTTCGTTTATTAAACTTACGATTTTAGTTAATTATATGACAACTTAAATGTATATTATACGTTTTTTCTTAGAATATCAAGTAGTTTTTAGAAATTTTAGAAACAACATAGAAAATCCGTTTTTAAGGTCCTTCTCATTTCCTTCAGGACCGAAAATTACAGGCAAGAATAAAACTATTCGTACTACGTGTACAAATAATAGAGAACACAATCAGAATCAAAAGCTAACACGACCATTGGACATTCTCCAACCAAGACCTGACAAGCTACCGCCCAGTGGCGGCGTGGCCTTCATCGCGACATCTTCACATGTTCACACCGTTCGAGTCCATATGTTGCAAAGTATCAGTGCAAGATTTCCTGTAATGCTTTGCTTCCCCAGTCTTTGCAGGAAAAGTTGCAGTTGTGCACCAATCAAAGTGAATTCATGCGGCAAATCGCTTTAACTTCAGCAGCCTGGAATCAGGGAATTTCCTCAGGTCTGGACATCAAACAGGAAACGTGGCTTCATATTTTCGGGCCCTAAAAGCAGTCTCGACAGCAGACTTGGTTTCATCCCACGAACTCCATACGCCGGCAATATGAGCGGGTTCGTGCGAGCCGTCGGTGCTGCTGTTTTCTCTTTATCCGTCTTTACAGCATCCGCAGCTGGTCATGACTCTCGCCACCTCAAGACGTCACTGTCCGACCTGCCGTCGTTGAAACTTCATGTCACGCTCCAGCGGAAGTCCTTGGAGCTTCATGGAGCCTCCGAATTCAACGTCTTCGCCAACCCCGTCGTGTCGGATGACGGTCTACGAGTGCGTTACGATGGCTTTGCAACTTTCGTCGAGGGCCACTCACGGTTCACGTACTCGCTAGTGGACGGTGCTCCGTATTTAATGGCAAACGACAGCTCATCGAATGTCCCCAGCGTTGACTGTATCCCTCCCAGTACTCTACCGTTCGACGCAATTCTCCCTGCGTTAAACGACGCGACGCCTATTCCGAGTGCGTCAATAGGTGGCGTCCCTATCGAGTGCGAGAGTGGGAATTTGTTCAAAACTTCGTTCGCTGGGATCCACTATGCAATCTGTTCATCGGACGACTCTGGCTTCACTGCGATAGCCAGTGATGTGACTATCGACGTGGATTATCTCGACGAACCCGTTGCTATTCCAGACGTAAAGCTGGAAGACGGTTCGTCGTGCGATGTCTTAGCAGAACCCGTCGAAGTGACCCCACTAGCGCTCGCATTATTAAGCGGAGACGAATTACCCGTCAGCGATCGAAGAAAACTCAAAGAGGAGTCGCACATGGCTATACAATCTTCGACTTGTTCGTGTAAATCGACTCCTCGTCCGTGTATCTTTTACCACGGTCTCGGTAACGAGAAGGATGAGCCGGGTGTGCAGGACTCTTCTCGTCATTTCGGCTGGGATATCATCAAGGACCACGCTCCCTGCTGTACCACCATCAAATATGCTGCACTGAACACAGTCGACTTCGCCTGGACTGATGCTTCACTGCAAGAAAAAGTATGTGATCGTGCGCTCTCCATGTCAGCAAGCTCTGATTCGGGCTCGAAAAAAATTAAAGACACGATCGTCGTGACCCACTCGATGGGCGGACTTATGTTCGCTGGCGCGCTCGTCAACAAGAAGTGTAGTCTCGACAAAAGCTCGACCTGGATCGGTCTGAGTCCGCCTATGACGGGTAGTATGTCGTCCGATTATCTCATGGACTTCTGCAACGGAGAGGTTCGTAACCTCATGACGGACTTGTTGTTCGACGGAAGATGTCCCGTACCTCGGTCCACAGCGTCTGTGGCCTATGAGAACGAGAAATACAGCAGCCAGGAGAAAGATGACGCGTACGACGCGGCTCAAAAAGTGTACCGCAAGCACGTCTATGCTGCAATGTGCAGTAGTTCTTCGGTTGGAAATATCTCCAAGTACCAAGCCAAGTACATGGTAGGAGGTCGAGTCATCCCGCACAAGTCATTAAAGAACGACGGACTCGTCGAGTTCCACAGTTGTGCGGGAGGGATCTCGCCCTCTAAATTCGGGAAAACGCCCTACGATCGGTTCTATAGATGCGAGCTCAACCACGCAGACACGGCGTTCAAGACGGGAGATGGCATCTTCAAGACAACTGTACGCCCTGTGACGTGGTTCGAATGTCTGCTGTAAAGTTGACAGCTTCGAAATAATAGCTAACATGTTGGGAATTTATAAAACAATTTAGCTGCGTTTTCACCACAACTGTCTACAACAAACATTCAAACCATTTCGCTGGTTTCTGAGAATCCTTGAGCCACCCGTCGCTAGTCAGGAAGACCGTGTCTGCGTGATTTAACTCCGGTTTGTAGAACGTATCCTTGTAACTTTTGCCGAACTTGGAGATATCCAGACCTTTAGAACAACTCTGAAACTCCACAAGAGCATCGTTCTGAGGTGACTTGTGTGGAATAACACTAGCAGCCAGGAGCATCATTGACTGGTACATGGAGAAAACGCCTTTCGGGTTGTCACTACACATTGCAGCGTCAACGTTCTCCCGGTAAGCTTTCTGAGCTTTGAGGTACGCTGCGTTGAGCTTCTTGGACGCGTATTTTCCGTTCTGGTACATGATCGATTGTCGAGCTTTCGGCATGGGGCATTGGCCCAATATATCCAATAGATCAGTGGCGATTTTGCTGATCTCATCGTTACAAAAGTCTTGGAAATAGTCGGAAGCCATACTGCCCGTCATAGGAGAACTTAAAGCCACCCACGTAGAGCCTTCGCCGAAACTGCATTTGTCCGTAGCTATGGCCATCGACATGACAAGTCCAGCCATCGAATGCGTGATAATTACGGTGTCCGTAATTTTACCTGCTTTCGCGAGACTGATGTCACTAAATCGCAGAGCTCGGTCGCAGAATTTTTCTTGCAAAGTGTCGTTGGTCCACCTGGTGTCCATGGTGTTCAAGACGGCGTACTTTACGGTAGAGCAGCAGGGTGCATGTCTATTCATGTTACCCATTCGACCACCTGCGTGTTTAGGAGTGTTCTGCAGCTCCTCCATTTCGTTCGAGTTGCCAATACCATGGAAGAAAATGCACGGACGAGGCGTAGACTTGCATTTACATGACGAAGCTTCCATCACCATGTGCTCTGCAGTCTTGAGATGTCTCGTGGTGCTTGCTGGTATGAGACTTCCAGTTATTAGCGCTAACGCAGTCGGAGTCACAGATGTAGGTGTAGCGACGGCATCGCACTTAGCTTCTCTATTTGTCGGAATTGTGACAGGGTTCTCCAAATACTCGACGTCGATCGTGAAGTCACTACTGAATGCCGTGAAGCCGGACTCACCTGACGCGCAGATAGCGAAGTGGACCCCAGCAAACGTTGTTTTAAAAAGGTTTCCGCTTGAGCACTCGACCGCTTCGTCGCCGATAGAGGCGCTCGGAATAGGTGTCGCGTCGTTCAGTGCAGGCAGGATTGAGTGGAACGGTAGAGTACTTGATGGGATACATTGGATGTTTTGCTTGTCATCGTTCGTCAATAAGTAGCCGACACCATCGGTGTACGAGTATGTGAAGGTGTTGCCTTCCTCCTTGAAAGTCGCATAACCATCATACAACACACGTAATCCGTTAGCGGACACCACCGGATTGGCAAAGACGTCGAATTCAGACTGTCCGTGAATGTGCAACGATGCGCGCTTGGAAGTGACGTGGAGTCTTACGGAAGGTGCGTCACTTAGCGAGGCTTGATTAAGAGCGGTTACGGACACCGTAATTAGAGCAAAGAGTGCTGCGATGGCATTCAGTTTTGGTCGTATGGGCCCCGTCATACCTCAAGTTCCTACAGCAGCGGATTCAAGAATGGAGTCAACTTTCCCTATCGTTCTTCGCAAGAGAGGTTCACTCTATGCAATTCATTGCGGCAATT